CATGTGGATGTTAAAAAGGACTGGAGAAACTACTGAGCCCTGTGGCATGCCACAAAAGAGTGGCTCAGGGCTGGATCAATCAACATTGATTCTGCCTAGCCTTGGAGAAAGAAGTCAGACTAATGCAAACCTGTGCTGCCCATGTCCAAATCCAATAGCCACCCCAAAAGGATACCATGGTGAGTGTATCAACAGCTTCTGAGATGTCAAGGAGAGAAAGGATGGTTGCACTACCCCCATCCCACTCTCACCAGAGATCATCAAGTGTGACCAATACTGTTCCTATCCCATAACTGGATCTGAATCCTAACTGGAAATGATCCACATAATGTGTTTCATCCAGTACCTCTGAAGCTGCCAAGCTTTTCTACCACCTTCCCTAAAAAGGATGGAAAATTGGACAAAAAATGTCCAGGCAGGCAAGTCAAGGGACATTTTTTTTTTCTAAGGAGAAGACAAACAGGTGCCTTCTTAAAAGGCCTGGGAATTTCCCCTCCTGCAGTGAAGAACTGATCACTGCCTAAAACCTCCTTCCAAAAGCTCAGAATGAACAAAGACAAAAAGTCAAAGATAATAAGTTTCTTTCAGCATACAAATAACAAGAAAAAACTCAAGGAAACAGTCCACTTAAGAGAGAAGATGGCAAGGAAGTAACAGGCAGCAGAGAGAAAGCATTATTTCTAATAAAATGCATCACTCCAAAGAATGCTTTTTATTTCCTTCCTGGAATCAGATCGAAAATATAAAAGCATATAAAATATAGGCAAATCTTCAGGTCAGCAGTTCTTAAATAACTAAAGTAGTTAGGTGATTGCCCTTAATATCAAGATTGCCCTTAATATAAAGGTAAAGTCTATTTTGGGGAGAACCTTTGCTCCATTTCTTTTCATCATCCCTTTCAGTCAGATCTTTTCCTCCTCCTCCTCCTCCGGAAGGGATTCAGGCCGGACAGAGGACTACCTATCCATTGGATGATGGATGATCTTCCATTGTGCCAATAAGTTCATGGCGACTCTGGAAGCCTTTTTAATACTTCAAAAATGCAAAGAAACAGTAGAAAAAGTGAGAGGGGTAATTAAACTTTGAGATATATCTGTAGTTTTATACTATTTCTCCCTAAAGCTCCCCACATCCAACTTATGGTCAGTTAAGGCAGATTTCAATTTGTGATCAATTCTTGAAGCAAGATTTTCCAAATAATAATGTTAAATAAAAGGCAGAACACATCTAATATGTAAAACAGTTTATTCAAAATAACCATATCTTAAGTAATACTGTAAAAATAGATTGGGTTCCAAAATATTTAATTCTAGTATTTTTTTTTTCTGGGAGGAAATTCATTTCCGAAAATACAGTATAATCCTGGGAGATGATATGATAATGCTAGCCTGTTTTTCACATTTTGAGTGAGCAATCTTTGTTCTCTGTGTTTAACATTTCAATTAACAGTAATATAGTCTTAATATAGGTAGCCCTTGACTTACAATCACAATTGAGCCCAAAATGTCTGTTGCTAGGTGAGATAGTTGTTAAGTGAGTTTGCCTCATTTTA